CCTTCATCTGAGAAGCGTAGATAACATCTCATAGGGGCTTGTGAGGATTACACAAGCCCATCACACAAAGCGCTAAGCAAGTGCTCTGACCCCTCAGGGCAGGTTGGAACAGTAGTTTCCCAGTCCCTTCCTCTACCGGCTTCCACCACTGGTTGCATATTGGGCCTGCCCCACCCCACGCTGGACACCCTGTCCATCTGTACCAGTGTTGTTACCAGCACCATAAAAAGCTATTTAATCCCCCACCCAGGCAGTCTCCAAGGAAGGGAGAGGAGTCCATTCCACCACAGGGCCACCAGTACTGAGTCATCCCACCACTCTATGCCGCGCTGCCACCCCTAGCTTTGTAGGATCCCCCACTAGTCAGGAGCCTCACCCCACCCATGTCCACCTGTCCAAAGTCAGCGTCTCCCTTTACAGTTTGAGTAAAGATTTTTCTTAATTACAAGACTCGGAATCTCTGCATCCATGTACAGAAATAACAATAGCTGCTATCAGAGGGTTGCTTAGGTTCTCTGACCTCCTGCTAGATCTCCTAAACACAAGGCAGAAATTTTGGAGTGAGATGGTGCAGTGGGACCCCACCTGTGGATGTCTAATTTCGGATCCTTTGCTTTAAACCAGTAAACTACGGGCTGGGAGGCAGCTCAATGGTAAAGCACATGGTGAGCACGCACAAGGCCCTGGGTTTGATCCCCGCCCCGCAAAAGGAAGCCATAAAACCACTTAAGAACACACGAATGGATAAAGAAAATACGTGAGTTCGATCCCTGGTACTGATAAAAACGAAAAAGCCAAAAAAAAAAAAAAAAAAAAAGATAAAGAAAATACGCTTTGTATACACACTGGTGTATTACTCAGCCATAAAAAAATATAAATTTGAATCATTTATGGGAAAATGGACATACCTTGAAACCATATTTTTATTTTTTGATACTGGGGACGAACTCATGACCTTGCACTTGCCAGGTAGGCACTTATGTCACTAAGCTAAACCCATGGCAAGAGATCACTGACGTTAATGAAACCAGACACAGAAGCTTAAGTATTGCAAGATTTCTCTCTTATGAAAGTCCCGAAGTATAAATAATTTTAAGAGCAAATAAAGCTGGGCACAGTGATGCAAGTCTGTGACTCCAGCACTTGGGAGGCTGAGGAGGGAAGTTCTCCATGCGTTTGAGCCAGCCTGGGCTACTCAGTGAGTTCCATGCCAGCCTGCACTATATAGTGAGACCTTGTCTCAAAAAAAAAAAAAAAAAAAAAAGTCAAATAAAAGATAGATAAGCAGAAGTAAAAACAGGGTACTAGAGCTTGTGCAAATGGGAGAGGAGTCTAGAGATGGAGGGAGGAGAAGGAAAAGCAAAGTAAAAAGAATTTAGACGCAATATTTCATGTACCAACTCCCCAAGATGAATGTATTCATGATGTATTGCAATCCTGTATTAATAAAAATTTTCAAATTAAAAATATGTCAAAAACCCTAGTAAGGGCCAAGGAATGCTGACCCATACCTGTAATCCCAGCACTCAGGAGGCTGAGGCAGGACTGCAAGTTCAAGAGAAGTTCAAGTTTAAGATAAGTTTAGCAAAACCTTGCCAACAAACTAAAACAAAAACAAAAAACCTTGAAGACCCTTGGTGCTACCGCATCAGAAACACAGTGGTCACAAGAGAAGGGAGTTCAGTTGACAAACATTATCATCATTTAGGACCTGTTTTACAGATTTGATCTTTAGCTGCCTTGTTAAGGGAACATTCCATTGCTCTGGCCCATCGGGGGCATTCCTGGGAGGCTCATGGACCAGTGCAGGGCGGGCCAGAGAAGCAGACTGAGCCAGTGTGAAATTCAACAACCTGTAGCAGCAAGTGCCACAGAAGACAGCCAAGTCCTGACCACGGGGGAAGCCGAACCCTGTAGTATTCTGTTGAACCCTCAATCTCTTCTTTAGGACCCTTGCACACCACCAAGACATCTTCTGAGTCCCAAGTCAGTGGCTGGTGGACCGCAGGTCTTAGGGTCTTCAGTGTTCTTTACACCTTCACTTTCCAGAGGTGGAGGAGCCAGCTAAACACTGAGTGATCCCTATCTGACATCCAGATTCCTGTTCCCAAGCTCTAGAAAACTTCCAGCTCTGTTACTTTGTGCCACAGCAGAGTAATTGGAGGGAAAAACAGGTGTGAGTGGGGCCATGTGGCAAACACCACGCTCAACAGTTACAACGAAGAATCCCCTGAGCCTCTGAACAGAGCCTGGGCCTAAGGAAGGCTTCCTGACACCAAGCCAGGCAAGTCGTCGCTCATGGCAGGCCCACCCAAAGGCTCCCCCAGATCCCTAACAAGATGCCACAAATACCTGCACAGCAGCTCAGGGCACAGCAAGCTATGGGTAAGAAGGATAGGGCAGTCTGGCCTTCTAGGAGCTACACTTGGCCTCCACTTGCCTTCTAAAGTCCTACAGTATTCAGATCCCATTCTGGGACAATCCCATCCTTAGGCCTTCTCAAAAGGGATCTTTCAGAGCAAAATAAAAGATAGATAATAGGAGGTAGGGAGATGGATCTTTCTAAGGGCAAGGGGATCAGGAAATGGAGAGATGGGAAAGACAGGAGATGAAAAAAGAACTGGGATGCATTATGTACGTGTCCAACTCCACACAAGGAATGGAAGTAAACATTATGTACTGCAAACATGTGCTAATAATTTTTTTTAATTTCAAAAGGAGTCATTCTCAGGCAATTTAATCCCATTTTCTAAGGGCAAGTGGGGAACCCTAAAGGACAGCATGGCTGCTACACCTAGCTAAAACCAAAGAATGCCCACTTTGCCCTGGTCCCTTTATTTTCCTCTAATGCAATAGCCCAATAGCCCCAGCCAGTGCCCAGAGCCTCCTTACAAACTCAGTCCCTGAAGAAGGGCCACCTCATCTGTCCCCGTCCTCCAGGAGTGGGGCCAGAGCTCCCAGGTCTCCATGGCCACAAGCACAAAGCAGCATAGGAAGGCCAGGAGAAAAGACCTCACAAGAGGTCTGCTCTTTGCACCCTGCCCAGAATTTGTCTCTGACCAGCCACAAAGGAGGCATCTGTCCTGAGTGGCCCAGACTAGACTGCCAGCTCCAGCACAAGGGTCTCAACTGGGGTCCTGGTTGCCAGCAGCTGTGTTAGCCCTCTGACATGAAACAAATATGTCTCTATGCCGCGGGACATTTGGGGCTAGGACGGCCGAACTCCCACTAGAGTCTCCAAGGGGCTCACAACCCCCCCAAACCCTGATACCCTGAACCCCACCTCGATGGCTATCCCCGGACCAGCCTGGCTAGTCTCCCTGACTGCCTCCTGCTCCTCCAGTGGCAGAAAGAGGACAGGAAGTGTGGGCAGGGGACTTTGAACCAATCTCTGCTGCATGTACCCTCCAGCTTTCTGGTGGTCTAAACCAGGGTTCTCTTGGAGCACATCATCCCAGAGACGCCACCCTCTTCCCAAATGGAAGTCAGCCTCATGCCAGGTCCAGCACACACAAAGCTTGTGGTGAGATGACCTTTTCACTAAGAGACCTCACTTCCTTTAGCCAGCCCCGCTGACTCTGTCCACTAGGCTGAAGAGAATGGATGAGAAGCCCAGCATAACTGCCAGAGAACTTTCTCCTGGGCCAGCTTCACCAAGGGAAGCTGGGCATGGTGGTACACACCTGTAATCCCAGCACTAGGGAGACTGAGGCTGGAAGATCTGCGAGTCTGACAACTTGGGTTACACAGTGAGTTGAAAGCCAGCCTGAACTATATATACAGAGATGCTGTCTCAGAAAGCTGTTAAATAAGTTAAACAAAAGATCACTAGAGAAAGGCTTATTCTCAAAGCTATAGGATGCTGCTTCCTGAGGAGCAGGGGAGAGCAAGGCAGGTGGTCTCCTATTCAAAATCACCTCTAGGGCATCTTATTTCTAAAATGCCTGGTATCAGGATGTAGTACTGTAGTCCTAGTACTCTAAGAGGCTGAGGAAGGAGGATCACAAGTTCGAGCTCAGATTGGGCAAAGACTGCGGTGAGCCACTGTTTCAAATAAAAATCAAAATTAAAAATTAAAAAAGAGTTAAGGCTGTAGGTCAATGTGAAGCTCAGGGTTCAATCTCCAATACTACAAAAAGGGTGGGGTGTGGAATCTAAAACCTCACCCCCTTTACAAGAAATTCCTTTCCATAAATTTAAATTCGGCATAAATTTCTAGGAACTAGAACTTTTTCTTAAGGGAAAAAGAAATGGACAAGCCAATGCTAGCTAGGTGTAAAGCAACAAAGCACAGAAGTAAATGGGATGGATCGAAGGCATGGAGGGGGACACCAACCCCCTGGAGCTTAGCGCCGGGGGGCGCTTAAAACCAGAGGGGCGGGCGGGGGAGCAGGGGCGGGGACTGCGCGTTCGTGTCCTGAACTTTCCCTGCCTGGGCGCGGGGAGATGCAGCTCCCAGGGGACAGGGTGGGCCCAGAAAAGGCTGAGCCGACCCGCGACCTCGGCGGGGGCAGGAAGCGCGCCTCCCCTCCCCCTAAAAGGAGATACGCTCCCAGCCCGCGCCCGCGCCCCCGCCCGCCGTCGCCGCCCAGCCTGCGCCCCCGGACCGGCGCATGGCTAGGAGGGGCACCCACACAAAAGGGGGCGCGGGAGAGGGGCCTCGGGCGGCGCCGGCTCGGAGGCCTCGCGTCCCTTCCCGCGACGCGGCCGGCGACCACCCCTCCAGCGCGCGCCCCGCGCCCCGCGCCCAGCCCAAGGCCCCCGCCCCCCGCGCCCGGAGCCGGGGAGGGGAGAGGAGGGGGCGGGAGCAGGGCGGGCCGGGACCCGCTGCCGGGCTGGGTCCCCGGGAGCCGCGGCGACAGCGCCGGGAATCAAACTCGCGACGGCCCGGCCTCCCGGCGGCACCCGGACAGCGAGCCCCGGGAAGGCGCGGCCGGGGCCGGAGCTGGGGCGCGAGCGCCGCCGGGGGCCCGGGCCGCGGGGGCGGAGGAGGGTCTTACCGAGCAGCCGCCACGCGCGTCCGCTGCCCGCGGCCGGGGGCCGGGGGGCGGGGAAGGGCAGCGCTCCCGCGGCGGCGGCGGGCCCGACGCGGCGGGTGCGGGAGGCGGAGAATGCGAGGCGCGGCCGGCGGCCGGCGGCCTAGCGGCGAGCGGCGGGAGTGCAGCTGTCCCTGCGCCGCGGCCGGCGGGGCCACAAGTGGGGCTGGCGGGGAGGAGCGGCGCCGCGGGCGGTGGGGGGCAGGCCAGGGCGCCCCCAAACCATCTCAGATGCTCGAGCCTCTCCAGAGAGCTGGGCAGTGGGAATGGGAGTGCGGAAACCAGTGTGGCCGCGGGGGCTGGGGGACGGGGACACCGGGTGAGGAAGACGCGGGCAACGCTCTCTCTGTCACCCTCGCACCAGCTGCAGTGACTTTCCGAAGAGAAGGCTGAATGGGGTCCTGGGAGGTGCTGAGCGTCCTGACCCTCCCAGGGCTGAACGCAGCGAGAGAAGATGGTGGGGCGGGGAGGCCCCAAACCGGGGAGACTTGGAGGGGAGGAGACCTTTGAACAGAGATGGCTGATAAATAGCAATAGCGGGAACCCAGGGCGAAGGTGCAGAACCCCCGTGCCCAGCTGGGGCTCGGGACGGGAAGAGTGTGGGGGAGGGGCGGCTCCCTGGGAGTTGGAGCCAGGAAACAAGATCGCAAACTGAGGTCGGAAAAGATAGATGGGGGCTGGAAAGAAAAACTTACATTATCAGGTACCACCTGCTACCTCCCCATCCCCCCCCCCTTAAGCATCTCCCAGTCATTTCAGGGGCTTCAGAGCCCTAAGGTTTTCCATTAAAGAACTTGTTTAATAAATGAGAAATCGGCTTTGGCTGTCCATTTTCCACGTGGTTTGGATTCAGGTTCCCATTTAGGGATGGGTAGGTTGGGGTAGGAGCTGCCCACCAAGCACCCAGCTTTAAAAAAAATAGGAGTTACCCAGAGGATCTGAGGAGGCTGAAGGCCACATCACCTCCATCACTTCCCCCAGTCAGCTCGGCTTGTAAAGAATCTGAACCTTCCTCCTGGAAACGCCTGCCTTACAGACTCACCAGTCGTTTGGGACTAGTCCCCTCTCCCTCTGAAGGGTTTCAATCTGCCACAGAATCATCTGATGGTAAAAACCACAAACCAAAGCGCCCCAGCCACCAATGTGTTTCCATCACTTCAATGTCAATAGTACATACCTTCAGCAAGTTGGGAGCCGGCCAGGCAGACTTCAGAGACCCAATATTAGGTGACCACGAGAAGCTGAGCTCCAGGACTGGGTTCCCAGACCCTCTGAGGATCTCCTCCTGCTTCTTTCTGCCCATGTTCCTTCCATCTGTGATGCATTTGATTTCTTGAGGCCCTCAAAACACAAAGAGATGGTGCCTAGGCCCCAGGTTAAAGACCTTAGATCTAGAGATACTGACCTGTGTATGCCTCTATGCTGCAGACTCCTGGCTCTCTGCCAAGTTGTAACCTAGCTCAGGATTTACCCTGCTGGCCAGCAGTTGAGATGATGTTATCAAGTATGCTACCTTATCCCTACCCACAGTGCAGTTCGTCTGCTTACTGGCAAGATCCTCGGTAGTGCATCCCTATGGCATTGTTGTTTCAGGACCAGGAAAATGCATCTGCCAACTGGTAGATTTCCCTGTTTGCATTCATCTCTGGATTGTTCATAAAATGTTTAAGTGTTATCGTTATAGTCATTCATAAAACCCAGTCACCGTAATGGATGTTCTTGCTTGAAGCACACTTTACTTGGGCATGGCTAACAATACTCCTCCCTTGGGGTCTGTTCTGGAGGTGTTTTCTCAGATCCTTTCCCTGCCTCTTACACCCCCTGGGCCACATTACCTACTGCCACCACTGCCTCTGAACTCCAAGGGTCCCAAGCCAGACTCTCTCCTGCGCTCACACCGGCAATCCACACAGGATCTGTGGCTTCTCAAATTAGAGGAGGCTAAGCCCTGAGCAATTCCCCTCTGAACGAACGCCACCTCCGGGCCACCTCTGGCTCAAGGACTGCAAACCTCAGACCTTCACCCAGTGCCACCACTGCCATTTCTCAGGCACGATCTTGTCAGCCCTGTTTAGTCTTCCTTCCCCCTCCTCTTCCCTCATTCCCCCAGCTTCTGCCTGTTTGGGCCGATTATCTCTGCTCTTCTCAAAGGGTGAGATGTTCCCTTTGCTGTCCAACCAAACCTCCTGCCCACCTCAGAAAACTCTTATTAGTTCTGTTTCTCTGCTTCCCCACTGCTTCAAACCTCCCCACCCATCGAAAAGACCAATAATTTTGCCCCAGCCGGGCAAGTGTAGTGGTACCATCCTGTACTCCTAGCTTTCTGGGAGGCTGAAGTAGGAAGATCCAAGTTTGAGCCCTTCCCAGACAAGTTAGTGACAGCAAGACTCTCAGTCAGGCAATCAATCAGTCAATAAAGGACTAGGGTTGTACCTCAGAGTGACTGCCTTGGATTGAATATTTAGTATCACTAAAGGAATAAGTTAAATAAATAACCTTGCCCTTGCCCTGTCCCCAAGCATCCCTGTTTCTGCCTTCCCTATTCATCTGTAGGCTTCCTCCAGGATGCGCCACATGTACGTACACTCTCTCTGCTTCCTTAGCCTTCCTTAGCCCCATTCCACCCTCTGGCTTCCTGCATTTGGCCACCATCCCAGGGGCAGCTCTCAGTGGGAGGCATTGCAGCTCCTCTGCAGGACCCCCTCTGCTTGCCTTACTCTTTGGCCCTGCCACAGCCTCAGATGCTGTTAATGCCTTCTCCTCTCTCCTGTGGTACCCAGGGCCTTGTGCGTACTAGGCAAGGATGCAAATTATAGCCCCAGCAGTTGATGCCTCACTCCTAATTTTCTACCCGCTCCTGCAATCATTTGTTCTGCCTCCCTAGGACTTATCCAGGACTCAGTCCTCTTTCTTCCCACCATCCCCCTCTTCTGAGGACACACAGGGGTTAATAGTGTGGCGTGGGTACCAAGCCCTAGCAGCTTTATTTGCATGCTGTATAACAGTAGGCCAGTTATTTAACTTTCTCTGTGCCTCAGTTTCCTTATCTATGTTGGCATTAACACTAGTGTCTGCCTCAAAGGATTGCAGCTGGGATGAAACAAATCTGTGGACAGAAAGTATACAAAACAGCACCTGGCACATTACTGGTTCAGTAACTGCTAGTCATGTTATTGTTATTATTTGATTTTTTTGAGACAGACTCTCATTGTGTATTCCAGGGTAGCCTTGAACTCCCTATGTAGCCTTGGCTGGTCTTGAACTCACAGTGATCCTCCTGCCTTCGCTTCTCAAGTGCTTGGATTACAGGCATGCACCACCATGGCCAGCTTAGTGCTTTTATTAATAATTACATTAGCAAGTCTGCTCTTCAGCATGCTATACTGGAGATTTCTCTCTGGACCCACTTCCTCCCTAGGGTCTCCCACTGCCATTGTTTGTGGCATGTGTAGCTGCCCGCAAAGGCTGTCCCCCAGCGGCCTCACTTTCTGCATAGCAAGCCTCTAACCAGTCATCTCCCACCTCCTTTCTCAAACTCTGTCTGGATAAGGATGCTCACGCAAGCTCTGCAACTTCATATGCACCCCCGCTTCTCCCATGTACACCCCTCTGTAAAGCCAGGACTTCTGCTTCCTGAATTTTTCTGGAATCTGCACCATCTCCCTTCCCACACACTACCTTGGCTTAGGTCCCGCAACCAGGTTCAGCCTGCCAGCCCTTCCTCCTTCCTCAATGCTAGCAGCTATTTTTCTAGACAGACTAGTAAGGTCTCTGCCCTAGTGAGTTGAGTGAACGGTTCCCTGTGGCTTGGAGAATAAATTTTTTTTTGTCTTTTTTTGAGATGGGGTCTCGCTATGCAGTTCAGGCTGGCCTTGAGCTCATTTTGTAGCCCAGGCTGGTCTCGAACTTGCAACGATCCTCCCACCTCAGCCTCCCGAGTGCTGGGATTACAGGCATGAGCCACCACACCTGGCTAAGAATAAAATTTTAACTCTGCTATAGTTTGGATCTAGAATGTCCCCCCAAGTGTCCAAGGCACAGCCCCTGCGTGGCACTATTGGGAGGTGATGGATCCTTCAGGAGGAGGAGCCTAGGAAGACTTTAGGATGGGTGTGCTCCAAGGGAAAAGAAGGACTCCAGCCTCTTCTTCCTCTCTTTCAAAGAAACAAGGCCAGTCAGTCACAAACTAGAGCCTCTGAAATCATGAGCCAAACAAGCCTCCCTCTTTGTAAATTACCTTGAGTATTTGTGACAGTAACATAAAACTGACTAACTCCTGACAACATAAAGCTGGAAACTCCTTTGACAGGTCATTCCCACTCTGCCTTTAATCTAAGTTCTAGCTCCTCCCCTTTCCTGTCTTCCTACCACCTACCTGCACCCAGCTTGTTAGAACCAACTAGAAGCAGCAGGGGTTCCCATGAAGTAAAGGGGAAAGTGATGGAATCTTTTGCTGAGTCTCTGCCTATGCTAAACTCAGATCATTAGGAGCGTATTTCACTATGTACTGTGAGGATGGGGAGGTGTTAGGCTTGGCCTTGGGTAGGGTGGCTCCAGCTGGACAATAGGGAAGTCAGGACATTTCCATTCCGAGATTTCCCCCATTTGGGGCGAAGGGCAGAGCATTGATGGTGGCTTTGGAACTACCACATTATCCCCATCGCCATAAGCCCTACTCCTTCCTAGCACTGCTAAAGGCCACACAACAAAGCCTAAGGGAGAAAGGCAAGGGGTATAAACACCCAGACAGCTTCGATAACCTGTCCCTTTCTCTAACTTGACCAGTTTAGCCAAAAACTCAGAGGAAACTTAAAAAATCAGTAGCAGCTCTTGTAGATTTGGAAGAACACACAGGTGAAACATGAAAGCAGAGATTAAGAAAAACAAACAAACAAAAAAACCCCTCTTTTTTGGGATAATTACTAGGTCGATACCTGTGTGGTTCTCAGTCCCATGCCCTTCCAAAAACAAGTTCATGGTCCTTTCAGGAGGCCCCTCCATGCAGCCAGCCAGGCAGCATGGCTGGCCCTGGGTACTATAGCTGGATTCTGCAGAACTCCCAGGAGACAGGGGATGTCTGTGTCTGTGGGAT